GGCTCAAACTCACAGACTGTGAGATCGCGACCTGAGCCGAAACCATGAGTTGGACGCTTAACCGACTGAGCCACCCAGGTGCCCCAAGAGATCACTCTTAATCCAGTGTTATTGGCACAATTTCTAAGTTGATAAAGTCCATTGTGGGCAAGGATGAGGAATACAGACACTCAAATATTTGTTAAGACTTGCAAATGATAAGGCCTTCTGGGGGACAATTCAGAATTTTAAGTGGGCAGGCACTTCAATCCAAGAATTTTACTTCTTTAAAAAAAATTTTTTTTTAGTGTTTATTTTTGAGAGAGAGAGACAGAGCATGCGTGGGGAGGGGCACAGAGAGAGGGAGACACAGAATCCGAAGCAGGCTCCAGGCTCTGAGCTGTCAGCACAGAGCCTGATGCGGGGCTCAAACTCATGAACCAGGACCTGACCTGACCTGAGCTGAAGCTGGACGCTTAACCGACTGGGCCACTCAGGCGCCCCAACAACAATTTTACTTCTAAATATCTATCCTAGAGAAATATCCATGGTGAAAGATAATTAGGGTAGCAGTTTCATACTATTTAGAAACAAGACAGGTATCTATACTAGAAACAGGGTTTATTTACTTTTTAAAATATAATTTATTGTCAAATTGCCTTCCATACAACACCCAGTGCTCATCCCAACAAGTGCCCTCCTCAATGTCCATCACCCACTTTCCCCTCTCCCCACCCCCATCAACCCTCAGTTTGTTCTCTGTATTTAAGAGTCTCTTATGGTTTGCCTCCCTCCCTCTCTGTTTGTAACTTTTTTCTCCTTCTCTTCCCCCATTGTCTTCTGTTAAGTTTCTCAGGATCCACCTATGAATGGAAACATATGGTATCTGTCTTTCTCTGACTGACTTATTTCACTTATCGTAATAACCTCCAGTTCCATCCACGTTGCTGCAAATGTCGGGATTTTATTCTTCTCCATTGCCAAGTAGTATTCTATTGTATATATACACCGCATCTTCCATTATCCATTTATCAGTTGATGGACATTTAGGATCTTTCCATAATTTGGCTATTGTTGAAAGTGCTGCTATAAACATTGGGGTACAAGTGCCCCTGTGCATCAGCACTCCTGTATCCCTTGGGTCAATTCCTAGCAGTGCCATTGCTGGGTCATAAGGTAGATCTATTTTTTTTTTTTCAACGTTTATTTATTTTTGGGACAGAGAGAGACAGAGCATGAACAGGGGAGGGGCAGAGAGAGAGGGAGACACAGAATCGGAAACAGGCTCCAGGCTCCGAGCCATCAGCCCAGAGCCCGACGCGGGGCTCGAACTCACGGACCGCGAGATCGTGACCTGGCTGAAGTCGGACGCTTAACCGACTGCGCCACCCAGGCGCCCCGGTAGATCTATTTTTAATTTTTTGAGGAAACTCCACACTGTTTTCCAGAGTGGCTGCACCAGTTTGCATTCCCACCAACAGTGCAAGAGGGCTCCCGTTTCTCCACATCCTCGCCAGCATCTATAGTCTCCTGATTTGTTCATTTTAGCCACTCTGACCGGTGTGAGGTGGTATCTCAGTGTGGCTTTGATTTGTATTTCCCTGATGATGAGTGACATTGGGCATCGTTTCATGTGTCTGTTGGCCATCTGGATGTCTTCTTTGGGAAAGTGTCTGTTCATGTGTTCTGCCCATTACTTCACTGGATTGTTTTTCGGGTTAGAACAGGGTTTAGACAGACTGCAGTATATGGAATATACTGTAAAATACCGCAGTGTTTACATGTAAAATCTTCAGCGGGTCTATATGAATGAGCATGAGAAGATCTCCTGCACATGTCATTAGGTGAGAAAAGGAAGTTGCAGAAAAATACGGACATGTCATATTTTATCAGTTGATTCTGAGACACACATCTTAACACATTTCAACACATTCACCTTACAATGAATGGTTTGTTTTAAGTGCTATTGGCCCAGTACCAGCCGAGATGTAGCTATGTTGCCCGAGCATACATAAACCCTGAAAATTTCAGCTAACAAAACCATTTAAGGGGGCACCCATGTGGCTCTTAAGCATCCGACTCTTGATTTGGGCTCAGGTCATGATCTCACGGTTTGTGAGATCAGGCCCCGTGTCGGGCTCTGTGCTGATGGCATGGAGCCTACTTGGGATTCTTTCTCTGTCCCTCCCCTGCTCACTTGCACATGTGCTCTCTCTGTCTCTCTTCAAATAAAAAAAAATAAACACTTATGGACTATTTGATGGAAGAACATGACCCCTACCACCTAACAACTTTCTGTTAACTCCTGGGTAGACCAAGAAAGTGCTAGTATCAACAACTGGGGAAGGGATTAGCAACCTGGAAGAAACTCCCTGAGACAGTAGCAAAGTAGTCTTTCAAAAAATGCTGCATCACAAGGTTCTTGATGATGCACCGGAGGATACAGTGTATAAACCGGTCATGGGCAGTTTGGGGTCAGAAGAGATTCAGAAATCAGATTCTGAACATTCAGAAATTTAGCAAACACCTGAACCAACTTATTTATGTTCCTGTTTAATGTATGGACATGAGATATAATACAAACAAAATTTTCTTATGTGTAAATCAGTCTAAACTTCCAATAAATATAAAATAAAAATTTTAAGTGAAGGGGCTCCTGGGTGGCTCAGTTGATTGAGCGTCTGACTCTTGATTTCAGCTCAGGTCACGATATCACGGTTTGTGAGTTCAAGCCCCTCATGGGGCTCTATGCTTACAGCACAGAGTCTACTTGGGATTCTCTCAATCTCTCTCTCTCTCTCCCTCTCTCTCTCTGCCTCTCCCTTGCCCACTCTCTCTCTCTCAAAAATAAACATTTAAAAAAATAAGTGAAAAGCAAGCACTGTGTCAGTTTACCTACAGTATATTCTCTTCTTGGTAGTATGTGTGTATATTATTACTGATGACATCTTATAGCTAATAAAATGTTGTATTATAATTTCGTTGGTGTGAGCAGAAAATAAACTGTGTATAAATATACATTGAAAAAACATTGGAGGGGCGCCTGGGTGGCGCAGTCGGTTAAGCGTCCGACTTCAGCCGGGTCACAATCTCGCGGTCCGTGAGTTCGAGCCCCGCATCAGGCTCTGGGCTGATGGCTCGGAGCCTGGAGCCTGTTTCCAATTCTGTGTCTCCCTCTCTCTCTGCCCCTCCCCCGTTCATGCTCTGTCTTTCTCTGTCCCAAAAATAAATAAACGTTGAAAAAAAAAATTAAAAAAAAAAAGAAAAAACATTGGAAAGATCGAAGGATATAAAACATCTGTGGAGAGTTAGTTAGCTTTAGGGAAATGAAGTAGGAGGTAAGCAGCAAAGAAGTTTCTAGGGGAGCCTGGGTGGCTCAGTGGGTGAAGCATCTGATTTGGTCTCAGGTCATGATCTCATGGTTCATGAGTTTGAGCCCCACATCAGGCTCTGTGCTGACAGCTTAAAGTCTGGAGCCTGCTTCAGATTCTGTGTCTCCCTCTCTCTGGCCCTCTCATGCTGTCTCTCTCTCTCTCTCTCTCTCTCTCTCTCTCTCTCTCTCTCTCTCTCAAAATTAAATAAAACATTTTTTTAAACAAGTTTCTAATACTGTACTCTATGTGCATTAGGATCTTCTACAAGAATGCATTAGCCCTGCAAGATTTAAAATATACTTACCTATTCAGAGATTCTAAATATATTATTAAATATTGACATACCATATATTACATCACATGTGTTAAATTATAAAGCCATAGGAATTTAAATAGTATGTTAATAACACAGGAATAGGCAAACCCATGAAACTGAATAGCAAAGCCAGAAATAGTTCCAAGCAGGTGGGAATGTAGAAGTGTGACCCCCGCCCCCACCCCCGTTTATTAGCTGAGGTGCCAAGTACGTGCAACAGGAAGACTTCAGAGAGTGACAAATAAGCCATGATCAAGAACTCCAGTCCCCTCCTCCTCTTGGCCTCTGGCCTCCTGGTAAGCCCCCAGGGATCCTGGGTTACTAGCATCAGCATGGAGTGTGGCTTCTCTGGTTGGATCCTGTGGTCTGGAAGAGGCAGCCCTGCTTGGGTGAAAAGCTGGTTTTGGAGGGGATGTTCTGAGCTTAGCAATGAAGACTGAGTTTCCCGCTCCAGTCACTAACACAGGCGTTGAAATGGAAGCCTTGTCCAGCCCTAGGTAATTTGGTTATTTGTTTTTGGAGAGGTGATTCCTGCTCAGTAGACCTAATTCCCTGTGTTACTTCTCTTAGTGACACATTCTTTCAGTTGACACACAAATTCATCTTTACCCACAAAACAATGTAATAAAATCTTTAAAGTGCTAAAAGAAAATACTGTCGGCGTAGAATTCTTTATCCAGTGGAATTTTCAAAAATGAAGCCAAAACTTTCTCAAACAAAACCTGAGAAAACATACTGCCAGCAGAGCTGTGCTGTAAGAAATAAGGAAATTCTTGAGGCATAAAGAAGATATGCTAAATGGAAACTCAAATCTACACAAAAGGATGAAAGTCACCAGAAATCATTAAGTATAGATTAAAATACTTGCTCTTTTTTAAAAATGTTTATTTATTTTTGAGAGAGACAGAGAGCGAGCAGGGGAGGGGCAGAGAGAGAGGGAGACACAGAATCCAGAGCAGGCTCCAGGCTCCACCCTGTCAGCACAGAGCCCGACGTGAGGCTCGAACTCACGAACCATGAGATCATGACCTGAGCCGAAGCTGGACGCTTTACCTATTGAGCCACCCAGGCACCCCTGCTTTTTAATTTCTTAAAAGATCATTGACTATTTCATTATAAATATTGTAGAAATGACTTAAATTTTTTTTATTTTACTGTGATAACACTAAACACTGAGATCTACCCTCTGAACAAATGTTTTAAGTGGACAATATAGTATTAAGCATCAGATGAGGGACAGTTAAAAGAGGATGTAGAATGCGGGGAGGGAGACTGAACAGTGGGTTCTAAGAACTGTGTGCTTCCCATGGGAACTTTGCAGGGTTCGCCACTCAAGACCCCTCTCGCCTTAGCTCAGGAGAAATGGGAGGCAGCAGCTGCTTGGGTGCACACTCTGTTAGGGGCCCAAAGCCCCAATCCTGGAGCTGGACCCACTCAGTAATGACTTTTTCAAGTTAAACTTTTTATTTTTAAACAATATATAGATCACACGCAGCTGTACGAATTATACAGAGAAACCCCCCATAGAAACTACTGGGGAGGCTATAGAAACTATAGGACAGTAACACAAGGTACAGTCAAGGTACACATTTCCATCACCACAAGGATCCCTCTCTTACATTCACATCCAGTGCTCTCACAGCCCATCCCCTCTTCAGTCCCTGGCAACCACTGTATGTTTTATATATTGCTGAATTCGTTTTGCTAATATTTCATCAAGGATCTCTTTGCATGCATATTCATGAGGGATATTTTTTGCATTGTCTTTGGCTCTGCAGCAGGAGAATACTAGCTTTATAAAGTGAATTAAGAAGTGTTCACTTCTGGAAAAGACTGGGTAGTTGGTATTAAATTTCTTTGTTTGGTAGAATTTCCAGTGAAACCACCTGGGACTAGAGATTTCATTTTGGGGATTTTTTTTTTTAATTTTTAATTTTATTTATTTTTTTAGTGATCTCTATACCCAACACGGGCTCGGGATCACAGCCCCAAGATCAAGAGTCATTTGCTGTTTTGACTGAGCCAGCCAAGTGCCCCTCTTTTGGGGAATTTTATAATTATGAATTTAATTTCCTTCATAGCTATAGAGCCATTCAAATCATTTATTTCATATTGGGTGAGTTGTGATAGTTTGCTTTTCAACAAATTGCTGAAAATTAGATATCGAAATCATGGAAGTTGACAAATTTGTGTTTTCCCTTATTATCCTTTTGATGTTTCCAGAGTCTAGAAGTGATATTTCCCCATCCTGGTAACTTGTATCTTCTCTTTTGTCAATCTTGCTAGAGGTATGTTGATTTTACTAATCTTTTCTAAGAACCAGCTCTTTGTTTCATTAATATTCTCTATTGTTTTTCTGTTTCAACTATATTGATTTCTGCTCTTTATTTCCTTCCTTCTGCTTACTTGCTTGCTTTGGGTTTTTCTAGTTGTTTGTAGTTGAAGCCTGGGGTGCTGATTTGAGATTTTTCCTCTTCTGTGTTTGCATTTAGTGCCATAAATTTCCCTTTCATTATTGCATTAGCTGTATCTCACAAATATCAATATATTTTCTTTTCATTCAGCTTAGTTTGTTTTTTTAATTTCCCTTGAAATTACTTATTTAACCCATAGATTGTTTAGAAGTGTGTTCTTTTTTCTATGTGTTTGGAGATTTTCCTTTTATTATTTATTCCCAGTTTGATTGCACTGTGGTCAGAATACTCTGTTAGGATTTCAATTTTTAAATTTTTTTTTTCAACGTTTATTTATTTTTGGGACAGAGAGAGACAGAGCATGAACAGGGGAGGGGCAGAGAGAGAGGGAGACACAGAATCGGAAACAGGCTCCAGGCTCCGAGCCATCAGCCCAGAGCCCGACGCGGGGCTCGAACTCACGGACCGCGAGATCGTGACCTGGCTGAAGTCAGATGCTTAACCGACTGCGCCACCCAGGCGCCCCCAATTTTTAAAACTTTGTTGAGTTTGGGGTCTATCCAAGATATAGTATATCTTGGTATATGTTGTGTTTTCACTTGAAAAGCATGTGCATTTTAGGGGTGCCTGGGTGGCTCAGTCAGTTAAGCATCTGACTCTTGATTTTGGCTCAGATCATGATCTCACAGTCGTGAGATTGAACCCTGTGTTGGGCTCTGTGCTGACAGCATGGAGCCTGCTTGGGATTCTTTCTCCCCCTCTCTCTCTCTCTCTCTCTCTCTTTCTCTCTCTCTCTCTCTCTCTCTCTGCCCTTCCTTCCCCCCCCAAAATAGACATTAAAAAAATTTTTTTTAAAGAAAAGCATATGCAGTTTGGCAGTGTTGTTGGATGGCTTCTACATCTTTGATGACTTTAGTTGTTCTATCAGTTGTTTAAAAAGGTGTTGAAGTTCCCAACTACAGTTGCAGATTTATTTCTCCATTCAGTCCTATCACTTTTTGCTTCGCACATTTTGCAGCTTCCTGGTTTGGTATACACACAGTCAGGATTACTGTATCTTCTTGATGGACTGGCCTTTTTATCATTATATAATGTCCCTTTGTTTTTTGTTTTGGAATCTTTTATCTGATATTAACATAGCCACTCCTGCTTTTCTTTAATTTTTACTTGATATATATGTTCCATACTTTTTCTTTCAGCTTGTCTACATCATTATATTTGAAACATTTCCTGTAGGCAGTATATAGTCGGATCATGTTTCTTAACCTGCCAATAGCTTGCCAATGACTTTTAATTGGTATATTTAGACCATTTACATTTAATTATTGACACATTAAAGCTTAAGTCTGCCATTTTATTTTCTCATTCTATTTTTTGCTTCTGTTTTTTATACCTGCCTCATTTTAAGTTACTTGAACTTTTTTTTAGAATTCCATTTTATCTGTAGTATTTGTCTCTCTTTATAAAGCTTTTTCAGTAGTTTCAAATATTTCCTCTATACATATTTAGAATTATGTTAGGCAGTGATATGATTTTTGCTTTGATTTCAGCAATGTTTGATTTCAGCGATCAAACATAAATTTAGAAAAATTAAGATGAAAAGGAAAGTCTACTGTATTTGTCCATATTTATGCTTACCATGTTTTTTCCTTCTTCCCGAGGTTTTTTTTTTTTTTAATCATTTCCTTTCTGTTTAGAGAACTTCCTTTAGCCACTCTTTTAAGGTACATCTGCCGGAGACAAGTTCTCTGACCTTCTGAACCCATTCTGTCCATCCATCTGGAGGGCTCCAACATCCAGCTCGTCCAACATGAGCTCCAAGTGGTGGCTCAACAGACCAACATCAAAATACAGAAGTGGGTGCCACCCCCAAAGTATGGCCAGAGCTAAAAGAAAAAAAATTCTTTTAGAACAGAAAGGGGTGAGGGGAAAGGGCACTGCAATTTATCACAGGGTAAGAAGGGTCTGAGGGGATTTGGGGTTTGTGAGAGTTTTGATGAGGCAGGATAAGCATAAAGAGTCAAGGGTCAAGAGCAGAGAGCAGAGATGAATACATACAACTGCCCTTCATACTTCAGTGCTTTACAAAGAAAGGTTTATATTTCCCCCAAAGAATGCCAAACGAGTACCCCCTTCAAGTTCTAGTCTAAAATAAAATCCTGTAAACTTTAGATCAGGTGAGAACAAGTCTCTCAGCCTAATAAACGTCCCTGGAATTCACGTCAGCAGGATCAGAAAGAAGATATTGATTTGCTCATGAAATTTATAATCCATTGCCATAGAGCCACCTTATCTGACCCCCTCCCCGCTACCTTGACCCCCATTTCACAGAAGAGGCAGCTGGGGGGGGGGGGGAAGGGGGAAATGGCTTTCCTTAATCCTTAGATGGGCGATGACAGGGTCTCTAGTTTTCAGTGTCCCCCTCTCCCTTAAGTGTCTTGGTTCTCATAATCCTCTAGCATCCACCTCTTCTACTGCCATCTCTCCACCCTCGCCTTTTAGAAATGAGAAGAGAATGGGGACTGTTCCTCCGTGGGCATATCTGAAATGCTGTATTTTCCATTTCAACGGTCACAAAGCAGCGAAGGCAAACTGTTGTCCTCAAGTTTGAGAATTCTCTAAGTGATCAGGAACTCTTTTCAGATTCAAGACATCCACAAGCTTAAGAAAAAGAATGAGCACATAATGATTTAATTGGCTTTCTCTTTTAATCAAAAACATACTTTGTTACAGAGTTCTCAGGAAAGGTTCAACTATTTCTTAGCCACAGACTTCAACCAGGCAAAAGTACACAGAAAGCCACAAAGGAACTACCGGAGCTTTAGCTGACCAGTTTTCCCAAAAGCAGAAGCTAAGTGTGGCTCTTCTCTGGGTTTTGGCATAGCTGCATTCCTCTGATTTTAGGGGAGGAGACAGAGTTGGGAAATACCATGACCAAATAAGTCCCCACCCCCCAGTCACTTCCTCCAATGGTTCAGCAGCCCACCAGGTTTTCATCATCTACAAGCATTCACACTTTTCCCTTAAATCACATGTCCAAGGCATTGGCCCGAACCCAATATGTGGAGGAAGTCTGTCAACTCCATGTTTAGCCTTTCAACCAATCCAAGCCCATGAGTCCTTCTATCAATGACAAGCAGCCATAGCAACAGCAGTTGGTTTCATCCCTTCCTCTCCAGCTATCACAGAGCTGGCCTCTACCAGGACTCCCCAACCCCCCACCCTTAACCCACCCCCAAGGAAGGTCCTCAAGGTCCTTGAAAAAGACAAGTTCATTAATGATACTCATCTAAGAATAGGCCAGAAAAGTACTCTGAAAGGAATGCTCCACCCAAAAGTATTCTAATCAAAATGGACCCAAAAAGAGCCAAGAATAAAGTGAATGATCATCCACTGGTATGGTTTTCTTCTATCATATGAACCATTTTAATTGATGTGGTTCAGAGGAATTCCCCTGTTTTCAACTGATAAAAGAGATAAGAAACCAAAGACCAGAAGTAATGACCTCTAGTATCATTAGGCATTTACAGTAAGTTTTCCATTTCATTTTAGTTGAAAAAAAATCACCAGCACACAGCATTAAGAGGATGCTGTCACACACACACCAGCCCAAAAGGTAGAATGCCATGACTCAAAAAAAGAAGCCTTAAGAAACCTTTAATCTAGATGATGGGAAAAGAGAATGAAGGCTTTTCCCCTCCTCTCAGTTTTTTTTTTTTTTTCTTTTTCTAAGTATTTATTGCAAGGTGGTGCTAGGCCTTTGGTTAAATTTAAGTCTCAAGGACATACTATGTAACTTCTTGTCCATTGGAGAATAGTAATAAAATATCAAGCCTAATCTCATTTGAATAACATGGAAATAAGTAAAAAGCCCCTTCAAACAGCAGAGCAAAACTAAGGAAGAAATCAAAAACTGCTGCGAGGTAGGCAAGGTCACTTAAATTTCGGAGCTAGAACACATCTAGTCCAACTCCCTCATTTTACAGATGAGGCAACTGAGGCCCAGAGAAGGGAAATGACCTGCTCAAGGTCATACATCAAATCAGTGGCAGAGTGCAAACCAGAGTGTACCTGGTGCCAGCCCAGAGCCACCAGTTTTAGGCTGAATAAGAACATGGGCTCTGAGACTTACTGTGAAAGCATCTTAAATACACTGAAAACTATCCACATCAATAGACAGAAATGATTGTCTTCACCTCAGTCCTTCCTATGAAAGAAAGACAGAGGGAGGGAGGGAGGGGGGAGGGGAGGGAGGGGGGGAGGTAGGGGGGAAAGGAGGGAGGGAAGGAGGGAGGGAGGGAGAGGGGGCAGGGAGGAAAATGCTTCATTCATTCATTCAAGTCTGATGTTAAAATCCCTGAAAACATTAGCAATTACTTTAGCTACTCCTTGGGGCAGGATATCAGACCCTCAATTCTCATAAAGGCACCTATAGGTCAAAAATATCTGTAGAGGAGGAAAGCCCCAAGATAGGACTCAAAAGGGGACACCAAAACAAAACAAAAACAACCCTCTCATTTCCTAAGGTTTGTTTTTTGTTGTTCATGTAGGATTTTTTTTTTTTTTTTTTTTTTTGCTGGTATCCTCTAGG